GCACACGCACACACACACACACACCAAACTCCTGTGTTGGTCGCAGGCGTGTCCTTTGAGCTGCGCGGCGGCTTCCCGCCCAAACCGCTCACTCCGTCCGCCGACAAGACGCTCAAGGAGGCGGGCCTCCTCTCCGAGTCGATCGTGCAGAGCACTTGCTAGAGGTTGAGGGCGGGCGACATCGCCCGAGCCAGAGGGGGCTCCTGGCGCCGTCGGCGAGGAATACGAGGGCGTGCTGCGGCGCATTGACCTCTCCTCCTCGCCCGCGCCCTTCCTCCGCGCCGCACGCAGCGAGACGGTGAGAGGCCATGGCCGGTTGGCCGTCTGAAGGGGTCGCGGGGAGATGTGCGGTGTCGGGGGTCGCGCCGAGAGAGCGCGGCGATGCGTGCTACCAACGCTTGCCATGCGCGAACGCTGTCGGCGCCCCTGGCCTCGCAAGAGGTCTATACTATGTGTGGCTGTGGTGTTAAGGTGTCATGCGGTTGGCCAGGATGGTTTGTGTGTATCGCGCGCCTTGGGGGGGGAACACCTCCGCTGCTTAAAATCGAACCCGTGAAGCTTCTCCCCGTGCGCGGGGGTCACCCCGCACACGGGTCAGCCTGTCAGCCACGTATCCACGCAAGCGTGGTGCTGCGGAGCCGGGCGAGGGGCGAGGGAGCAGGGACGGAGTTCGGAGGCGTCCCCGCCCAAACACCGAAAAAATATTTCACTCCCGTCTCCCCGACCGGCAGGCGTTCTCCCTTGCGGCCGCTAAGGTAGACGGATTGCTCCTCAAAAAAAGCTAGACGGATTGCTGCCCCGCCGATGTCTCGTGGCCGACGTCGCCACCGTCGTCGCCGCCGCCGCCGCCGCGGACCGTCCGTTCGAAGAGGCCGCCAACGGCGCGGCAGACAAGGCTCTTCCAACGGCGGAGGTCCACCCTTGCCCGGGCCGGAGACGCACCGAGGCCCTTTGCCAAGAGCACGAGCGAAACCTACGGGAGGGGTCATAGAGCGGGGGGTCGCACGCATAAGGCGACGCCGTTCTCCGCCGCCGCCGCGCGCGCCTCGTGGTGGCGTCCGGGGAAGCACGACTTTGCCAGGTCCTTGTAGAGGCCTCCGGCGATGAGCTCCTGCGACATATTGTAAGGAAGGGGGGGTTGGAGGAACGCATGGGAAACGCGCGGGATGGCCGCCTCTGAGAGAGTCTGGAGAGAGTCGCTCCTGCGGCGTGGTTTCAAAGAAGCGCGAGAAGGGCACGCCGCCCTTGTCGGGGTCGTTCTCGTGCGCCATCACGATCGGCAGCCTGTCCTCGCGCGCCTGCCTGACCTGCTCGGCCAGCCGCTCGTCCGACCAGGTGTCCTCGTTGAGGTAGAGCAGCATGTGCGTCGCGTCGCCGGCGCGGCGCGGCGCCGAGCGGCGCATGATACTGGAGCGGCGGTGAGAAGCCCGGGAGGCAACAGAGCCGCGGTCCTCGGCCGTGGAGACGGTGAGGCCGGCAAAGGCGTCGGCGAGCTCGTTGGCCAGCTCCACCGACCCCGCGTTGGCCGGCGAGGCCCAGAGCGTCACGGGCTTCGCAAGGGCGAACGAGTGGATGCGCGGCTCACCCGGGACGTACAGGCCGACGGCGTCTTGCCCCACGTAGTCGGGCGAGCAGAGGAGCACCGCCTGTGTGGGTGCAAAGCGGGAACGTCCAGACACTAGAGAGAGAGGCGCGGTGTATGGACTAACGGCGCCTCGACGATGGTCTTGAGCGAGACGCGCTGGAACTCCTCGATGCGATACCACGTCGTCTGCGTCCGGCCCTGGTCAAAGATGTCCGACTGCAGTTCGTCGGGGCATTCGTCGCGCAGCGCCTGCAGCGTCCCGCCGCCCTTGGCCGGGTCCGCTTCTTGCACGAGGACGAGCGGCTTGCTCTGCTCGAGCGTCGCGCGGATCTCGCGGAGGCAGTTCTGGTGGCGCGCGCGGACAAGCGAAGGGTGAGCCGCGGGGAGTGTCGAGGGGGTCTCGGCGGCTCGCGCTGCGTTGGGGAGGCGTGGCCGAGCGTGGCCGGGCAGCGTGCGAGCGCCGGCGAGCGGAAGTAGCCCTGTGAGAGGAAGAAGAGGATCATTTGCGTGCGCCGGATGTACTCCTCAAGCGCCCCGATGTCTTTGAGATCATCGACCTATGAGTACAGGACGCGCAGTCAGAGGCGCTGTCTTCCTGTACGAGGCGCGATGAACATGCGTGTACGCGCGTCGAGAAAGACTTTGATGCCTGGCAGCAGCAGCTGCAGCTCGCTCTTGATGACTCCGACGGTGTCTTGACCAGTCGACCTATTCGGGGTCGGGGGTGCCTCATGCGCGGTTCGGACTCTCTTCTTCCCTCCGCAGCTGTGATTCACCAAATGTGCGAGAGGAAGAGGTGCCACGCGAGGCCCCGCACGAGGGTGAGTTCGGGCGGCTGCTTGGTGGAGACAAGGCGGATCGTTGGGACCTTGGCGGTGCGGCGGGCGGCGACGACGGCGCCGGCGAGGGAGATCAAGAGCGCGACTCCGGCGAGGCCGATCATCGTGCTGACGATCGGATTAAGCTTGCTGAAGCCGAATACGGCGGCCGCGTCATCGGTTCCGGAGCGCTCCTCGATGCGGAGGAAAATGGTGGTCCAATTGGCGCCGAGGAAGACGATGAGGAGGATGAGGCTCATTGCGACGGCGAGGACAGAATCCTCGACGCGCTTGTACGGTTTGGTGGCGGCGACGAGCGCGACGTAGCAGGAACAGATGAGGGTTGCCACCACGAGCCGAAGCAACGCGTTCTTCTCCGGGATCAGCAGCACGAAGCCCGTCAGCACGAGCTTGCGGGCCAGCTCCAACGCCTCCCACCAGTAAAAGGTTGTTTTGTACTCCCGATGGAGGAAGGCGGTCGCTCGCGTCAGCGCCGTCGGCGTCTTGGCCTGCAGCGGCTTTTGGCAAGCGATGAGGAGCGCCGTGAACAGGACCAGCGAACCGGCGGGCCAGAGGACGATGAAACCGATGGCGAGGTCGGTGATAGACTCGTGATCCTCGGTGCCGCATTCGACGCTCGCGTCCTGCCGCATGTAGCTAACGATGCCATCGTCTTTGTCGGGATCGTCGTACGCCTAGAGAGGAGTCGCCTTGGGGTGAGAGGTGTGAGGAGCTGGCTGCAAAGGCGTGTGAGTGCGACTGCCTTGCACGACCACGCACGGAAGATGGAGGCGCTGATGGAGGGCACGAAGCAGAAGACGAGCACGAGGCCGGCCGGCGTGAGGTCGAGGAGGCCGAGGGCCGCCTCTGCGATCCACGGCCTCGCGTGCGGAGCCGGGGCAGCACGCCAGGGGTGGAGCCGCAGACATACTCCCGCGATTATTAGCAGCGCGATGAGGGCGACGGGCGAGAGGGCGATGCCGAGCAGCCGCAAACCGTAGCCGAGGCACTGCTGTGGCAACAAAATTCCCGACCAGTCGATGGAGACGGCGTTGGCTACTGCGTCGGTCCAGCGCGTGTACGTGTCCGGCAGACGCGTGGAGTAGGTGGTGGACAAGACGATGACGATCTGGTAGAAGCCCAACAGGATCTTGAACTTGGCCGTGAGGCCGATCGCGACGCACCAGTAGACGGCACGGTCTGCAAGGCGGAGCAGAAGGCCGATGTAGGGCTTCTCCCGCCACTCTGTCATGCTGTAGCAATACGCCGCGAGGCCGCACGCGACGCAGAGGCCGAGGACGAGGTCGACGATGCGGCCAGCCGCCGCGCCGCGCGGAGCGCACTCCTTGCACGCGTCGCCGTCGGCGAGGTAGCAATTTTCCGCGGCGCAGAGCTGGCACTCGGGGCCTTTGAAGCCGGGGGCGCAATACTCGGAGCCCGCCTCCTCCAACCTCCGGCGGCGAGAGGCCTCTCCCGGCTCGCTGCCGGCGCATCGCGTCTTGCCGGCCTCGGAATCGCCGCCAAAGAGACGGCACTCTGTCAGCACGGCGGAGGAGGGGCTGGCGCGCCAGAAGCCGCGCGGGAGGACGAGGGAAGCGAGTGTGGTATTGTCCGGGCAGGTAGCGTTCGTCGGGCAGGACTTGCAGTACTCGGTCGGGGACTTGAAGATGTCGTCCGGGTCGGCGCTCGCGTCCTTCAAGTAGAAGCCCTCCATGCAAAACGAGCAGGTGGTGCTGCCGTTGACCGAGCTGAGGGGGTGAGGACACGGCACGCAAAGGCCCTGACCAGTGTTGGCGGCGTAACGGCCAGCCTCGCACTGGTCGCACGCGTCGCTGCCTGCCTTCGACGAGGTGCCGGGAGGGCAAGGCTCGCACTTGGGCTGCCTCTCCTTTGCGGCAAAGGTGCCAGGCGAGCACGGCGTCGGCTCGATGCTGCCTGTGGAGCAGGCGCTGCCGGCGGGGCAGTCCTTGCACTCGCCCGCGTCGGCGAGGTCGGTCGCGTTCGCGTAGGTGCCAGCGTCGCACGGCAGCGGCGCCGACGCACCCTTCTGACAGTAGCGTCCCGCCTTGCACGGCTTGCACACCGTCTTGCCGCCCTCGTCCTGGTACGTGCCGCCGGAACAGGGCGTGCACTCGCCCTGCTTGTACGCGTCCGTGTACGACCCCTTGGCGCACGCCGTCTGCTGCGTCGAGCCGGTAGTGGCGAAGTGGCCCGGCGAGGCGTCGGTGCACTGCGAGGCGGCGGTGAGGTCCGTGGCGGTGGAGTAGCTGCCCTTCTCGCACGGCAGCGGCGCCGACGCACCCTTCGGACAGTAGCTTCCCGCCTCGCACGGCTTGCACGCCGTCTTGCCTTCCTCGTCCTGGTACGTGCCGCCGGAACAGGGCGTGCACTCGCCCTGCTTGTACGCGTCCGTGTACGACCCCTTGGCGCACGCCGACTGCTCGGTGGAGCCGGCGGCGGCGAAGTGGCCCGGAGCGGCGTCGGTGCACTCGCTCGCGTCGGTGAGGTCCGTGGCGTTCGAGTACGACCCGGCGGAGCAAGCAAGGGGGGCGTCCGCGGTCCCTCTCGGGCAATAGCGGCCAGCAACGCAGGGCAGCGGCTCATAGGTCGCCTCTGTGGGGCACTTGGAGCCAGCGGGGCAGGGGCCGGCGCAGCTGCTGCTCGACTGGTACTCGGGGTCGGCCGAGCCGAGGAGGCCGGCGGCGCAGGCGAAGGGGAAGTCCTCTTCGACGGGTAGCAGCGGCAGCTGGTAGAGGCTCTTGCCGAGGAGTGAGGGGTCGCCGGT